GACAAAGGAGAAAACAATCCAGGCTACTGATTTGATGGTGGGGGAGAAGTGCTGTGGTCTGGATAAATGTCCCCCAAAGGTCTGGTCCCCATCCCTGGTGCTACTGGGAGGTGGTGGAACCTTTAGGATGTGGGGTATGGTGGAGAAAGCTAGGCCATTGGTAGCAGGCCCTTAGAGGAGACACTGGGACCCTGGGCCTTTCTCTTCTCTCTTTGCTTCCTGGATATCAGGAGGTCAACAGGCTTCCCCTGCCATGTGTTCCCACCATAACGTACTGTACCAACAAGACCCAAAGCAACAGGGTCCAACAACCATGGACTGAAACCTCTGAGACCATGAGCCAAAATAAATTTTTCTTCTTTTAAAATTGATTCTCTTGTTTTGTTTTGTTTTTTAATCACAGTAACAGAAAGCTGACTAACACAGGGGAAAGAATAGGGGAAGACTCTCAGATGGAGGGAACAAATGTGCAAAGAGAGATCAAAAAGATGCTGCCATGTTTGAGCAGCTGCTCTGGAGAGTGGGCTATGTGACAGCAACTAAGTTGGAGACACAGAGAAAGGTGCAGATCTGTATCAGGGAGTGATGGTAGTAGCCCCTCATCTGCGATTTTGAGTTCTGAAGTTTTAGTTATTCATGATTAGCCACAGAATGAAAACATCAAATGGAAAATTCCAGAAAAAACAAGTTGTAAGTTTATAATTATGCACCATTCTGCATACTACAATTGATGAAATCTCATGCCATCCTACTCTGTCCAGCCTAGTACATGAAACATCCCTTTTTCCAGTGTATTCCCACTGTATATGCTACCCACTCTCAGTCACTAAATAGTCATGGTACATAGTGTATATCCATAGTTTGCTACTATCTGAGGTTTCAGGTATGTCCTAGGGTCTTAGAATGTATTCCCCACAGATAAGGGGACATACTGCATTGACAAACATAGATGGTCAAGTGGATTATTGTTCCCAAATGTTCATTTAGTGCCAATAAGCAAAGTACAGATCTTTATGTATGTTTATACATATATATACACATGTATGTTTATAAAGTTGACTCTGGGCATGGTGATTGGCTGGTAAATGGGTGGAAATGACAATGAGCACAGGGTAGAGGCTGTAAGAGACATTATGTCACCTCTTTCTTGCTCCATATTTCAGTATGAGAACAGCATATAGCAGAAGCAGCTCCCTCAGCCTGGATCCTACAGTGAGAAGACCCTCTGTCTTAGTCATTTTTTCTCTCATTGCTGAGACAAAATACCCGAAACCCAAAGTTAAGGGGGGAAAGGTTTATTTAGCTCACAGTTTGTAGAGGTTTCAGTCCATAGTTGGCTGGCTCCAAGGCAGAGAGGCAAGGCAGACAGGCATTGCAGAAAAGAAACAGTTCATGGTGGGAAGAAGGCAGCAAAGCAAACAAGAGACCTTAGCAGCTTCTTTCTGCCCCTTTTATACTTTATCTAGGCTACTAGGATTAAGGTGGTGTCAAACCAAACAGTGGACTGATTTAGTAACCACACACTCTTAACCTCAACATCATACACTCTAGACTCAGCCACCTCTGAAAAAGCATGATTGCATGACTGTATGAGGCTAGACATAAATTATAACACCTTTGCAGCAAAGGTTCTGTCTGTCTGGAATCTAGAGCTGAGCCCCAAAACCTTGCACCACAACTTCCCTGCAGCTAACATCTTGTATGAACAATAAATAGATGCCTCAAAACCTCAGCTTGAGGTTGTTGTTTGGAACACAGTATGACTGCAGTGAAAGCTAGCTGATGCATACTATATATGCTATGATTTATATCTAGATGTCCCCTCCAAAGTCTCACACATTCATAGATAGGGCTTTGGGGAGGTTACTGGATCATGGAGATGTGATAAACATCAGTGGATTAGTCTACCAATGAGTTTACGAATCTAAATGTGATGTTGAGAGGTGGAGATGGCCAAAGGAGGTAAGTCACTGGGGCCGTATTCTGGAAGAGCATATCTCCTTCCACCACTTCTCCCTTCTCTTCTCCATCGTGCACCTCTGCCACGCCATCCTGCATTACAGTGAGTGGACTATGTACTGAAATTTCTGCAAACTATGACCCAAAATAAACCTCTCCTCCTCTAAGTTGTGGGTGTCAGGTGTTTTTATCTGAGCAACAAGAAAAGTGACTAATACATGAGATGAGAAGTACTGATTGTGCTGCTCCATGCGTGCTATGCTAAAAGGAGTTGTGATGAATGACAAATCACAGAATGTTTTCGTTGATGAATTTCATCTTCATTCACTCATTGGCCTCTGAGGTGGAGACAGCCATCCTTACTTCAGTCACAACTCCCCGCTGCCTCCTGCTCCTCCTAGTGCTTAGTTCCATCCATCATCCCTTCCCTCCCCTGGACCAAATCATTCCCTGAATCTACATGCCTCACTAGTCTTTCCATCCTAAAAGTCTCTCCCTTCATCCTGTTGCCCAGACCTCCCTTTAGTTCAATGTCTCTTCTAACCTTTTCAAATAAACTTAAACAGATGACTATGCTCAGTCTCCACTTCTTCACTCTCACCTATACAGGCAATCTAGCTTGCTTGTCTTCCACTCTACCCAAACTGCTCTCGGTATTTTTCAGTAACCTCCTGATTGCCCAATGCAACTTCCAGTCCTTACTTCCACAGACTCCTCTGTGCCACTTAGCAGTGAACTCAACTCATTGTCTCTCCCACCCCAACATTCCTCCTCCCTTCTCCTCTCAGTGACACCATCATTTATCTAGCGACACTTGACTGAAAGCCACCACAAGACAATGAAGTCTGTCTGGACTTGTGAGTTTGTACTGTTTTGAGACATCCAGGCAGAAATACCCACTGGGCAGTTAAACATGTGAGCAGGGAGCCCCAAATTGGACATAAGATGGAAGCTATTAAAATCATATGTAGGGCCAGGGATTTAGCTCAGTGGTTCTGCTGCCTGCTCCAAAAGCTCAAGGACCCGAGTTCGATTCCTGTTATCAGAAAAAAAAAAAACATATGTACACCCACAAACATTCTTGAATTTGGAATACAAGTACCAAGTCTGTAAATCCCAGCTGACATATAGAGACCACTTCTGAGCCTAGAAATTCCTGTTACTAAGGTCACAAGTCTAACTACCATTTGGTCCCTTCCCTAAAATTGGAAAACCTGGTCCACACCACCATCTCGTTTCATAGATTTGCCCCTGTTCATTACTGTCTTTTCCAAAAGCCAAAATTCAATCATAAAAAATAGAATATCAAAATCACAGTGAGATACCACCAACCACTCACTAAAATGACTACAGTCAAAAAGACCAGCAACACCAAATACCATCAAGGTGTGGAACAATCCTAGTTCTCACTCATAGCTTTGGGAGGGAATGTGAAATGGTACATCTGGTGGTCCAGCAATTTCACTCCTGCAGGAAAGTGAATGTTCTCAAAAGACTTGGACAAGAATGTTCACATAATAGCCCCAAATTGGAAATAATCCAAATATTCATTAAGAGAAGAGGAGATAAGAGGATTGTATATCCATGCAATGGACTATGACTCTGCAGCAAGGAACAAATGACTCATATGCACAACATAGACAAATCTCAAAAAATTAAGTTGACTGAAATAAGCCAGACATAAAAGAGTACATATAGTGTGATTCTATGTATGTGAAGTCCAATCACTGGCAAATATTATTCAGTGGATGATAAAATCAGAAAATGGTTGCCGGCGGGGGTGGGGGTGGGGGTATGGTAGAAGGCAAATTAATTTGAAATGTTAATTTTCTAGAGTGAAGCAAATATTTCATGTCTCATTTTAGGGGGGCCAGTAACCCAGGAATCAACAACTGATAAATCACATTGACCCAAACGAATATTTAAGATTTGTGGATTTTAATGTATGTAAATTATACTTTAATGAAAAAAATGGAAAAAAATAATTTTAAGCATCTATAAAATAAACACTAAAACTGAAAATATGGGGCAGAAAGCACATTCATTTCAAATAAAATAATACTTCTATTACAAAAGCACCTGTATAAATGCCCAGCCCCCCCCACTTAATTCATCCATCCCCTTTCAGCCACTCCCCCACCTCATCTCAATGACGTCTGTTATTAGCCTGATGACAGATGCTGAAATGGAAAGAGCACAAGCCGAGGAGACAGACACAAATGCATTCAAATCCTAGCTGCAATTTATAGCTGAGTGCCATGAGCCAGGTACTTGGGCTCTCTGAACCTTTGCTTCCTCAGCTGTGAAATGGGTTAGTGAGACCCAGTCCACCCCCTTCCTCTGGGAAACCTGTGAGACCAAATTACACTTAGCAAGTCCCACTAGAGGCTCAGAAGTAAGAAGGCATCCTCGGCTCTGTAGTTAGCGTCTAGGTGCCTGCTAACAGGTAGAGAGCCACACAGAGCCACCCTGACCAGGGAAAGGTCACTCCCAGCCACTTACTCTGGAGACAGGTTCCTGGCCACTAGAAGGTCTTACCCTAATTGCTTTGCACACCTCCCAACCTCAGCCATTCCACTAAAAACAACAGGATCAGACCGGATAGGAGAACTATGAAGAGCGTTCTCTGGGGGTTCCCAAGACAAGAAAGAGATAAATGTAGAACTAAACTGATTCTGTCTGAAATAAGCTTGGAGGGGCCAGAGCCTTGCCCTCTAAGTGCTCTTCCCCTGCCAGGTAGGACTTGAGCCAGGATACTAGGCCTCCTGGGACATGGTTTGAAATCTCTGGGAACAGGAAATCCTCAGGGATACTTTCAGTCCTGCCTTAGTCAGTCATTGAACATCTGTTACTTGTAACAGAGATAACTTGGACCTGCATCCCTCCCCCATCTGGTAGGGGAGGCAAGAAATACCCAGAAATAACTCAAAAGAGGGTAGAAAGTACACAGTGTAGTCAGAAAGCAAAGAGGTTAACCATAACCTTTACACCACTACCACCCCAGGCCCTGGCCACTGCCAAAGCACTTTACATTTGCTTACTCAAACGGCGAGGTCTCCAGCAGTATTCTTATTTCTCAAGCCAGGAACCTGAGGATCTTCCGGAAAAAATATCTCCCAGTGGGAAGTGGCTAGGCCAGGGCTCCACCCTGCATCTGCTGGTGAGAAACACACCTCCGTATTACCAGGTAAATGAAGGCGGGCTCCAGAGGCAGAAGGCGTGCAAACAGCAAGTAAAGCCTGGAAAAGAGCCGCCTGGGTCTCAGTTCCTTCCTGGGGGGGAGGAGCGCGCTGTTATCTTCGGCCCCTCCTTCCCCCGCCCACAACCAGAGAGAAAATCGGGGAATCTCAAGTGGCCGTTTCCTCTCTCTGTTGCGCTGACATTTTTTTCCCCCTTTACTGTTACTTGGATGTTTTTCAAAAGTTTGTGCAATCTTTCTCCTTAGCTATTTCCCTGACATTTTCAAACGCGGAGGGGTCTCCTGAATGGGAATGAGGGGGCTTGAAGAGTTGAAGGGACCGTTTCGCCTCCCACCTCCCCAAGTAACAGCATGCACTTGGGCTGCGGGAGTTACAGTACCTGAAACTTTCCCCGCTGGGTGTTGGCGTGGTGCTCAGCTCCGAGAGCTCCCTGAGATCTCTGTCTCTCTGCCTGTCTCTGTGGCTCTCTCTCCCCTGCCCTCACTGCGTACCCCACCTCCAGCTCTCCATTCCCAGACCCGCCCGCTTGGCATCCTGTTGTCTGCCAGAGAGCCCTGCCCCACAGCCTGCATGGACCCCTCCTGCCTTTCAAGACTTACTCTGTCTTGCTGTACCCGCCGAGAGCCCCTGTTCTCCCCACCCCTACCCTGCAAGCGCCGTGTGGTAGGGGACACTTGAACCCCCAGTCCCGCAGGCCCCAGTCTGGAAGGCTGGACAGAGGCGCGACACAGGATGGGGACAGAGACTGGGTCAGATCTGAGAGCAGAGGAAACACGGCCAGAACAAAAGCAGGGACACGGGCAGGGCAGACACAGGGCAGCGCCGGAGCAATGGCCTGCTCACCCCCAGGCCCCCGCGCCACCCTCGGGGCCCCTCCGCCCAGCGCCTGCCTCCCGCGCCCGGCCTCCGGGACCCACCTGATCCGCAGAACCCGGGCGCCCTGGGCTGCGCTGACCGTGGCACAGTCGCCGCGCAGCGCCGCTCCCTCGGGAACCCGCGCTGGGCGTGCAGGGGCGGGGTGCGCCTGCCCTCCCCGGTGGGACCGCGGCCAGCCGGACACCTCCTCCGCGCAGCGGGCAGCGGCGCGAGGGAGCGGCGCGCTCTGGACACGGCGGGAGGCGCCTCCGGGCCCGCTTGGCCCGGGGCTGTGGGTGCCAAGCCCGTCCCCGCCCCGACCGCCACCGCAGGGAGACCGGCCGCGCGGGTGCGTGAGTGCTGCGCGCGCTCGCGTGTCTGGGTGGTGGGGAGAAGGTGATTGATGTTTCTTCCATTTTTCACTCAGGCAGAAGAAAGCCTGAAACCAGCCAAAAAGAAAATAAAATCCCTGGTGAGAGTGGCTGGGCCTCTTTTGCCTTCCCTCAGGCCTGCACGTGATGGGAGTGGTGGCAGAGGAGAGGCTGGGGCGGCCATGGGAGCATGGAGGTCAGTCACCCTGGCCACAGCCAAAGGCAGGGGGATCCCCGAGCCTGGGAGGTCTGATATCATCGGCTGGCTGCCGCGTTTGCTTCCCAGGAGGGAGGAGCGCAGATACTGACAGTGACAGAACCCTCTATCTTGCTGGGATTCTTTCCCTCCAGCCTTGAGCTCTGGAAGTGAGAGGCTGCTCACCGGCGCTCAGTGGTCTTGGAGCCTAAAAGTTCTCAAACAAGGACTTCACACAGCCCCTGGCATTCTCTTCTCGACTTATTTAGAACGGAACCAAAAAAGAAAATTTTTAAAATCTATTTCAGAGTTTGTACTTCTGTGCCCAGCGTGACAGCGATTCACTTCTGGTAAGTTGATGAGAGCACATGGGACTGCCCTCATTTGGTTTGTCCCACACTGGTAAGGACATTGGCAACCTTTAGGCTCATAGAGCTTCATTTTACTGGTGGAAATGAAACGATAAAGATTTGTTTTGCCAGGATCATTTGCTGCTGGATATCGTTTTCATAAACTAAGAAATTAGCTTCTTAAAGAATTGAATACATTGGAACTGTAATTTGTCATTAGGAAAATGACACGGAGCGTTGACAGGAAGTACAATAATGTTCATTGTCTCATACTAATGCAGAAGGATCAGAGGTCCGATTGAATCCTAGAAGGACCCACAGAACCTACAGAGCAGCCAGGTGATGATACAGAACTCAAGAGAGTGACATTTCCTGGTGATCTCGGGAAGTGAAGCGGTGGGGCAATGAATCATCAGCCCCACCCTGCCACTCAGGAACGAGGAGGAGCTCGCAGCAGTCAACACAAAGGGCCCTTTGCTAGAGGATAAACTGTGCCATTATTATCTTTTGTGAGCACACATGCAATAGTTCCTTAGCAGTGAGCACCACAGTAAATACGCAAGGAGTGATGTTCCACTTCGTGCATTATTTCCTCCTTCCCATTACTGCATTGAGAATGTGTTGTTAAAATTTCTAGTCCACCAAACTGGATTATAATTTTTTTAAAAAAGGAAAACAATGAGAATGAATGTGGTAGTAGCACAAATGATGGCTTGTGGTGATCAAAAGATGACAACCTCAGACATCACTCTACTACTGTTATGCCCGATAAAATTGATTTTATGGTTCTGTTTGTGTTCACACTGAAGATTTATTTTAGTTTTATGATTGCTTGATAAGCTAAGAGCATGAGAAACTCATGTGTAATTTTAGATTTAGACTTTCAGTAAAAACAAAATAAAAATAATGTGAGCCAACACTTTTGAGTCTGTTACCATTTTCTTTTTCCTTTCGAACGGAAGCATTTGGTTCTCGCAGTCAAACTAGCAGTTCCACTGACTGAATTTCTGAGCTGTAACATACCTTGAAAATTATATCCTAGGTCAAACAGTGGTTTAGGGGTCAGGAGTTCTGGCTTCAAGGCCTTAAAACAGTCATTCTGCTCTTCTAAGACTCATTTGTCTCTTGCGCAAAATTGGAGTAAGATGACTAATATGTGGGAGAGGTGAAAGAAAGATAAGAAGTTACTTTTAAGCTCTCGGTGTCACAGACAGGTGACTGAGAAATTCCAGAAGAAAGGTGGACTGGGCGGATATTGAGTAGCCTTGACCCCTGGATAGACAGCCCCAAGTGCTTCACACTTATGACACTCATTTAATCCTCAGACTGCCCTATCAGGTGGATATGAATCATATCCCCTTCTCCAGGGGAAAAAGGAAAGGCACAGGGAAATTAAATAACTTTGTTTGCCATTTCTCTAGGCATGGTCAAACGCCTTGGGGTCAGAAGACCTTCCCCTTAATACTTCCTTCTTGCTTCTAACAAATGTTTATTGAGGCCTGCTTTAGTTTTCCATCATTGTGACAAAGTACTTGACATAAATCGCTTTAAAAAGGGAAAGGCTTATTTTTGCTCACAGTTTCAGAGGCTTTAGTCTATGGCTGGCTGGTTCCATTATATCATGGCACAAGTGCATAATGGAGCAGCCAGGAAGCAGAGAGACAGGGAAAGAGCCCAAAAGGGGCTGGGGAACAGATATAGTTCCCAAGGTCACACCCCTGTGATCCACTCCCTTCAACTAGGCCCCATCTTCTGTTTCCATCACCTCTCAAAAATGCCATGAAATCATGATCTCATCAGTGGATTAATGCACTGATGAAGTTAGAGCCTTCATGATCCCATCACTTCTCCCGAAAGCCTGTCTGCTGGCAAACAAACTTTTAGCACGTGAGTGTGGGGAGACATTTCAAATCCAAATTATTACAGGATCCTATATCTACCATGGAGAACAATGTAGACAGTACCATAGTCCAGGCAGCCCAGTAGGAGGCAGAAAGTAAACCAAGAACAATCCAATTCATCACGTCAGGACCACTGTGATCAGGGACACAGAGGTCTGGGTAATGGGGAGGCTCAGACCTCAGAAAGGGGTTCGCTAGAGGGAGAGTAGGGGGACAGTAGCTGGAGCAGAATGGCATGAGAAAGACTCGGGGTGGGAGGAAAAAGGTTTATGAGAGGACAGAAAGGTTTCACCATCATGAAGGTAGCAACTTTCCTCAAAGCCATTATAAATTCTAAACAAATCCCAGTACAGTTTTTGTGGAACTTAATGAACTGCTCCTTAAATTCGTATGGAAGGGGCCAGGGATTTAGCTCAGTGGTTCCGCCACCTGCCTCGCAAGCGCAAGGTCCCGAGTTGGATTCCTGGTACCAAAAAACAAAGCAAAACAAAACAAAACAAAATTCATACGGAAGAGCAAAGGGCCAAAGTTAACTGAGACAGTTCTGACAAAGCATGAAGGGAAAGTGGGGACACCTGCTCAACCAGTTTTCAAAATGCACCATGAAGCTATAATCATTAAGGCAGTGCAGTGGTCCCATCTTATCAAAGGGATAAGTTCTAGAAACCCAGTGGATGGCTGAAACTGCAGATGCCTGAAACCAACTGATGATGCTTCAAGTTACAAGTTTTTTATTTTTATTTTTTTTTACTTTACAATGGTATAAAAGTATATGCACACTCTGTATCAGTCAGTAGTTACTACGGAAACATATAACACAAGATATATAAATATTTAAGAATTTATAAGATTGGCTTACAAAGGCCCCCCACAGAGTTGGATGATGGAGTCTAGAGAGTCTGTCTGCACACTAGAGACTGAAGGATTTAGTTGAAGGTCTAGAGCTCCCTGCAGTGTTCCCTGTGAGTCCATATCAGGAGGCCGAGGGGCCTGCGTTGGAAGGCTGAAGAGTATGTGGAAGGAAGGCTGAAGGATCGGAGCTGGAAGCAGACGAGTCTGCACTGCAAGGCAGGAGATGATGTCCTAGGTGAATGTGGAAGCTCCTCCAAAGGAACGGAACCAGCGTGTTCTTACTCACTTCCCCTTTATAACATCCAGGCAAAGAGCTGCCCTAAGGTGGATCTCCCACACCCTAGGGTGTGGAATTGCTGAGCCAGTTTATTGAAGCTTCTCTTAACCAAACTTCTCAAATTGATACAACCACTCAACCATCACACACTCATTTTCACTTTCTCTACAATTATCAGTAATTACATGAGATATTCAACACTGTTATGATTTACATCTGAAATGTCCCCCAAAAGTCTCAAGTGTTCAGAGGTGGGGCTTTCAGAAGGTGATTGGATTATAGGGGTGCCGTATTTGTCAGTGGATTGATCCACTGATGAGTTCAAAGCTGATTGTGCTCTTAGGAGCTGGAGGCAGGCTGGAGAAGATGGGCCCCAAGGCGTGCCTTCAGAGGATATGGCTCTTTCTGTCTCTGCTTCCTGGCTGAAATGGGTTTCTTCTACCCTGGCCTTCTGGAATGCTGTTTCTGCCTTGGAGCAAGATGACTGAGGACTAAACTCCTGAAACCATGAGCCAAGTAAACCTCTCCTCCTATAAGTTTTGGGTGTCAGCTATTTTGTCCCAGCTACAGGAAGGCTGACTAATACCAACAAATTATTATAAAATTAGCTTTGTGTCAGATTATTGTGCTCAATTATTGGTTTATATAAATGTGTTCTGAGCGCATTTAAGTTAGGTTAGGCTAAGTTATGATGTTCAGCAGGTAAGGTGTATTAAGTGCATTTTTAAAAAATTAAGTTTATTGGTACATTTTAGGTATACATTATGATCACATTCGTCATTGTGAATTTATACCTGCACATGATATATCTTAGTTTTTTATTTTTTTCCCATTCCCCTTCCCTCCCTTCCACCCCTCCACCCCTCCCTTTCTGACTTCAAAAATGAGTTTTAGGATGTAACCTCATCATAAGTCAAGAGGCATTTGTATATAGCACTTTGATTTTCCCTATACATATACATCTATGCTATGGAAAAGTTTATTTAATAAATTAGGCACAATAAGATGAGCAGTAATAACTAATAATAGGACAATTATAACAATATATTTAATAAAAGTTATTGAAAACTTGTTAATTATCTCTGAAATTTTACACTTAATATTTTCACTTTGAGGTAAACTGTGGGTAATTAAAAATTCAGAAAGTAAAAGCAAGGATAAGTGGTGACTACTGTATAGTGTTGGTGCCAGGATGGATTATTAGCCCCACAGATGAGAATAAGGATCCTTGAAAGAGACCCACATGTGTGGAAGCTGGGGGTGTAACAGAGGTAGAACAACTCAGTGGGGGAAAGAACAGATCGTTCAAGAGGCGTTAATGGGCTGGGGATTTAGTTCAGTGGTTCCGCTGCCTGCCTCGCAAGTGCAAGGTCCCAAGTTCAATCCCCGGTATCAAAAAAAAAAAAAAAGAGGTGTTGCTGGCACAGAAGAGAATTGAAAACAGGTGTGCAAACAAAAATCTGTACAGGAATGTTCATAGCATCACTATTTCCAATAGTCAAAAAGTGGATTCAACCCAAATATCTGTCAACTGAGGAATGGATAAACAAAACATAATCTACCCCTATAATGGAATATTACTCAGCATCAAAAGGAATGTAGTACTGATTCATGCTGCAACATGGGTGAACTCTGAAAATATTATGCTAAAGGAAAGAAACCAGACAAAGAGGGCCATATATTGTATAATTCTATTTATATGAAATATTCCAACTAGGCAAATTCAGAGTCAGAAAGCAGCTGAGAGGTTGTCAGAGTCTGGGAGTTGGGAAGAGAAGGAGACTGCTTAATGGGCTCAGAGTTTCCTTTTGAGGTCATGGCTAATACTCTGGAACTAGATGGCGGTAACTGTTAACACAATACAGTGAATGTTCTAAATGCCATTGAATTACACATGCTAAAATGACTTAATTATTTTAAATATGACTTTATGCTATATGAATTGTACCACCATTTAAAAATATATTGCTGGGAAATTGGCTACCCATACAAAAATACAAAATAAGAATAGACTTCCCCCCTAAACACTCCATGTAATAATAAATTAAAGACTTAAAGGCAAAGACAAACTTTAAAACTTTTAGAAGAAAATATCCTTATACTGCACAATAGATAAGTGTACACATACACAGCACTGCCCATGAAGAAAAATATGGATGAATGTGCCACATTAAAATGGTAAATACCCAGGAAAAACTTCTCAGCAAATTAACAGACAAACTCAGCGATTGAGAGAGATATTTGTAACCTAGGTAACCAACAAGGATTGGTATCTAGACTATATAAGGAACTCTTGCAAATAACCAAGGCAAGGCAAAAAGTCTTCCTCCATGTCACACCTGACTGAATTCCTGGATGGCATGTCACTGGACTGGGCACTTGTCACAACTGAACAGGCAAAACTTCTTTATCAGCATGCCCAATTAGTCAATGGCCACATCCAATCTGGCACACTGCCACTGCCCCAGGACACACACTGTCCCTGGACAAATGACATCAACATGTGGTGGCTGGAGGTGGGGACAAGTTCTTGGACAAATGCAGAACTTGCAGTGAGATTTCTGATGTGCTGCCTCATCTAGATGGTCAGCTTCTAATCGCTTCTCGGCCCTTTGGCTAAGATCAAGTGTAGACAGAGAGGTTCTTGAGGGTTATTTTGTTGACCCCACTGACTTGGTAAAAATCTTGTCCACTTCCTACGTGTCCACTTAGCTGAGGCCTTTTGCTGCCATCCTCTACCCTCTCTCACCTTGTCCTCCTCTCTCTAAATAAAGTCCTTTTCTTCCTCAGATTCGGTGTCAAAAATGCTGAGGTGAGGTGACCTGTGGCAAACAGGGTTTGGAACGTACATCCAGAAAGTTCTTGGCAGGGAAATTGCCTCC